TATATATATATATATATATATATATATATATAGAGAGAGAGAGAGAGAGAGAGAGAGAGAGAGATAGGTTCAGGTATTCTAACTAAGTATTGTATGGATGTACGTAGGAATGATTGTGGGTCAATCGTTTCAAAATGGTAAATTTGTACTTTTATATATAATCATTTTTATAAAACAAAAATAAATTTTATTAGATATGGAAAATCCCCAAAAATATGGAACAGTTTCTATATAAATCCCAATCTACGTCACATAAACCCTAACTTGAAATGCACCACCGGTCTCCATCGTCTGCAATCTTCACAAACTCGGATTTTCGATTTCATCACTTCCCATCACCAAGTGTAAGTCATCCCCCTTAAACCCTTCATCAATCATCAATCCTAAATCCCTTACTGTCTTTGCCTCTGTCAAGAAAATCATCGTCCTCCTCACGAGACTAGCCTCCGTTTCTCCCTGTCATTCCCTTTCCGAGCTGCCTCCCTTCACCGTCAACTTCGTTGCCGACAACCCCTCCAGCGACGCTGCCTCTTCCATCGCCGCCGATAGTGCCAAATACTTCGTCAAAGTAGCCAATTTCTTCGATTGCAGGTGATATTTTATTACTTTGCCCTAAATCTTGACTTCGTTGCCGACAACCCTAGCTTGAAGGCTTGTTATTATCGTCGATTTCATTGATTAAAATAAGGTATTTACTTTTTGTGTTGATTTTCTAGCTATGACATTGATGTATTTGCTCTGATTCGATGTAAATATGCTCTGCTTTCTTCAAAACAAGATACCATTAGGTATTTGTTTAGTTGTACTTGCCGATTGGATTTTCTTGATTCTATAGGTTTTTCAACAAAATCCTGTGTGCCCAAACAATCAATCAACACAGAAGAACCTGAAACTCCGCCCTGAATACCACACAATTTCTTCTGAACTAAAAGCTCTAACAAAAATGGTTCAAGAAAATCTAAGGGGGTCCACTGATACAAAACAAGTTTCAAATGCTGCTTATCGTAAAAGTTCTTTATTAGAAAGGGGAAAGTTGTATGAAGAGTATTCTGCAAGAAGAAACAAAAGGCTAAAAAGAAAAAGAGGTGAATCTGAGGTTGAGAAAATACCCCGTGTAAACAATATTTTGGGGTTAGGAATGAGTCGGCAAAAAAAACAGAAGTCAAGAAATTTGAGAGTGGAAGGAAGATGACAACCCCAATGGTGGAGAGGAAAGAAGTGGGGTCCACATTGAGGTATTCGTTGAGAAGTAGCTGCAAAGAGAATTAGAAACCGCCTTTGGAAATGAGTTTTGATAGATCGATGGAAGGAACTGTGGAAAAGAAGACTATTACAGTTAGACGAACTGCAAGAAAAGGGTATTAGCGACTTGTTTTTGTATCAATATTTGTTAGTATCTGTTTCTATTACTGTTAGTAGAATGACAATTGCATTCTTATAGAATGAATATTCTTTAAGAATGACTTACTATAAAGCATTGTATTCTAATAGAATGTGACAAAAATTCCAAGAATGACGAATGTGTAATTCTCCAATTCATAGCTCAAAAAATGTTGTTATTCTTGAATAATGTTAATAATAGATGATTATTGTTTAAGAGTGTTGTTATTCTTTAATCCATTGCTCAAAAATTTGTTATTCTTCAATAGGTTCTTTCAATCAGAATATGTATTCTGTCATAATTTGTATTTTGTCAGAAAATGTATTCTTACAGAATTTCCGAATTACGAGAATTATCATCCCTACAATCAGATTTTTAAAATTAATAGAATCTATTATCCTTAAAATATGCAATTTTCCTTTTTTAAATTTATGCTAATTAACTAAAATACCCTTAGAATGAAATTAGATGATATTTTTTAATTATCTTTAATTTAATAATATGTATTATTCACTTTCTTAAAATAAGTAAAATGATTGGCCCAC